ATGGGACCTTCTGCATACAAGGTGCTCTATCACTGAGCTATGGCCCAAACGTTTTGCTACACTCTAATATCCATCACAAAGTTCTCCTGTTCCTTATAATAGCATACTGCAGCATTTTAGGCTTGACATGAAGTCTCGTCTTTCCATATTGTTTTAAAATACAAAGCAGAATCAATCTGGGCACGCTTCAAATCTTCAAAGATAAATGAGCAGGCAAAGACAATTAACACTTAGTACTGCTTCAGCTCAACAGTGGGGAGGGGCGCTACAGGATACCCATATGTTTTCCTGACACAGGTGAACAAAGCTGCTTTTTTGGGGGGGGTGTTATAAACTGATAAGCAACTGGTGGGGGAAAGATGATTAAAATAAGCTCTCTCGATGCATCCTTCTCTCAGACTTGCAGCCTATCAATACTCAAATACCTTTTAAAAAGAAAACAGGGGAAAGCAAATGGAACTCTACATAATGTGTCTTTTGTGTCTCAAATAGTTGTTTTTTCAGTGAAACAAGTTAAGACCTACACCCACACACTCTATTAATTGCAGACAGTAGGTTTTTGTTTAGTACTCAACATGAAGATGCGTGTAATCTCTCAAAAGTTTTTAGCACAGCAAAGCAGTGGCTACTTTCCTGGCAGCATATCTGAGAAACAAAGTGATACATACTGGGAACACTCAGAAAATGCAGGGAGTTGTTTCTCCTTTGACTCTTCAGTGCGATCAAAGGCCACAAAACATCATCTTTTATTGCAGCCTCTGCACCGAGATAACTTTCATATAGCTCTGAATGGAAAGGAGATTCCTGCAGTTGAGAAATACTCACCTGGTCTGAAACATGGTGAAGAACTGAACAAGCTAAGATGCTAAGGGTGAGAGCTCTTGGGCAATGAAAAATCTGTGGCCCTACTGTAACGACTTTGCTTCCTTTGCAAGTATGGGAAACCACACTGTTGTTAAACAACTGGGAATCAGAAATCTTTCACAAATCATCCAACATGAGGGTTGCCATATTTCAAAAAGTAAAAACCAGGACACCCGAAAGTTGTTGAGCTTTTAATTGTTCAGCGTTTTTTAAGGAAAATCTGAAAGTTGTGGACCTTTTTATAGACACCCCCCCCAATTTTTCGATTGTACTACTTCTTGGGGAGTTATTGGTATCACATTTGATGTCCATATGACCATATGAAGTGTGCTGGGTGTGCATCATATACAGAATCACAGGTTACTAAACCCTCATTTATAGTGTGACATAAATCCAAACTCCCACACAAAAGTTGCACAACAATGTACAAGAAGTCAGTCTGGTAAATTATTTTGTATTCAAGTTATGTCACTACTGGGGACAAAGGAGACAGGAGAGAGTGGTAACAAGTGTTTTGGGTAATATATGATCACACAAATGTAGAAAGCATTTTAGCAAACTGTAGCGTAGAGCTAGCAAAGATGTACCTACCAAAACTCTCTCTTATTAAATGGAAAGGCCTGGTAAAGTAGCACTATATGGAAGACAAATATGGTCCTTCACACCAAATAAATGGACATGACAGTGGGTGGGACAGCAAGTTTGAAAAAGCAGATGAGGTCAAACAGTGGTTGGTAAATGGCAAAGGGGCATTATTTATTTAATTTGCATACTGCCTTCCACGGGAAGATCGCAGGCTGGCTCACAGCATAAAAGCACAGAACACATGAAAAAGAACAAACTAATAACCACGCCCCCAACACCTTTGAAAGGATGTAAGGTCCGTATAGTTAAAGCTATGGTTTTCCCAGTAGTGATGTATGGAAGTGAGAGCTGGACCATAAAGAAGGCTGATGGCCAAAGAATTGATGCTTTTGAATTATGGTGCTGGAGGAGACTCTTGAGAGTCCCATGGACTGCAAGAAGATCAAACCGATCCATTCTTAAGGAAATCAGACCTGAGTGCTCACTGGAAGGACAGATCCTGAAGCTGAGGCTCCAATACTTTGGCCACCTCATGAGAAGAGAAGACTCCCTGGAAAAGACCCTGATGTTGGGAAAGATGGAGGGCACAAGGAGAAGGGGACGACAGAGGACGAGATGGTTGGGATAGTGTTCTCGAAGCTAATAAATGTGTTTGACCAAACTGCAGGAGGCAGTGGAAGACAGGAGTGCCTGGCGTGCTCTGGTCCATGGGGTCACCAAGAGTCGGACACGACTAAACCACTAAACAACTAAACAACAAGATGTTCATCGGCCCAATATAGAAATAAATTAATAATACCATCGCCATATATCAAGCCTGCATACCGCCCTTCCCCCGAGAATCACTGTTATTAAAAACCACACTGAAAAGCATAGCGACGAACAGGCTGTGTACACGCAAGGCCTAAACACGCGTGTTGCACGTAACGTGTGAACCAGACCCGATGACGTGATGGGCGGTGAGGATGGGCGAGTGGAACAGGGAGCCGGCCGTCAGGCAACCGGGCGCCCTAAGGGAGGGACTTCGCCGGGGAAGGGCGACACGGGTCGCCGCCGGGGGGGGGGAACCTAAGCGAACTTCCCCCGTCGGAGGACTCACCGTCTCGGCTCCGGAGGGCTGGGGCCCGGAGCTCTGGCCGCCCATGACGCCCCGCAAGAAGTTCATCTTCCCCGGCCGGCCTTCCCCGCCTCGCCAGGCTCGCTAGGCCGCGGCTCCTCTCCTCGGGCCGCGTCAGCTCCCGTCAGCAGCCAAGAGCGCCGCCAGTGCGCCTGCGCCAAGACGTGGCACAAAGGTAGCCATCCTACGGAGAGAGGCGCCGGAGAGACACCCCGCCTGAACTTCCGGTGTAGGGCACAAAGGTAGTCACCCTAGAGAGAGGAAACTGGTAGAGGGACACACCGCCTCAACTTCCGGCTTCTGTAGACTTCTCTCCCCCGAGGTTAGGAGTTGAAACCCGCCCATGGAGGGGAAATCGAAAGCTTTTTTCTTGTTTTGTTTTTTCAGCGCAGGCTCTGATTTGGGCCAGCCCTCCTCATGCAGAAGGCATGGCATGGCATTAGTTATTATTTCATTCCATTAAAAGCGTTTAAAACTGCAACGTTGTTGTTGTTTAGTCGTGTCCGACTCTTCGTGACCCCATGGGCCAGAGCACGCCAGGCACTCCTGTCTTCCACTGCCTCGCCCTTCCTCACCGCCCATCACGACATCGGGGCTGATTCACACGTTACGTGTAACACGCGTGTTTTGGCCTTGCGTGTACGCAGCCTGTTTGTCGCTATGCTTTTCAATGTGGTTTTTAATAACAGTGATTCTCAGGGGAAGGGCTTGATATATGGCGATGGTATTATTATTTTATTTCTTTATTGGGCTGATGAACATCTTGTTGTTGTTTAGTTGTTTAGTCGTGTCCGATTCTTCGTGACCCCATGGACCAGAGCATGCCAGGCACTCCTGTCTTCCACTGCCTCTCGCAGTTTGGTCAAACTCATGCTGGTAGCCAACAAAGGTCCGTATAGTTAAAGCCATGCTTTTCCCAGTAGTGATGTATGGAAGTGAGGGATGGACCATAAAGAAGGCTGATCACTGAAGAATTGGTTCTTTTGAATTCTGGTGCTGGAGGAGACTCATGAGAGTCCCATGGACTGCAAGAAGATCAAACCTCTCCATTCTGAAAGAAATCAGCCCTGAGTGCTCACGGGAAGGACAGATCGTGAAGCTGAGGCTCCAATACGTTGGCCACCTCATGAGAAGAGAAGACTCCCTGGAAAAGACCCTGATGCTGGGAAAGATGGAGGGCACAAGGAGAAGGGGACGACAGAGGACGAGATGGTTGGACAGTGTTCTCAAAGCTACCAGCATGAGTTTGACCAAACTGCGGGAGGCAGTGGAAGACAGGAGTGCCTGGCGTGCTTTGGTCCATGGGGTCACGAAGAGTCGGACACGACTAAACAACAACAATGGTATGTTAAACTGTGTGCGGGGGGGGGGGGCTATAGGGCTGAAGAGCGGCATGTAGCTATAAAATAAAAAACAATACCGATGATGATGATGTTTCTAAACGCCGCAGCCAATGTGGGGCCCAGGGACTCAGCTATACAGCTGCAAATGAAGCGTTGTGAATGTGTTCTACAGTGCCATATACAATTTGTGGCACTAGATGGCGACTGTGAGCTATAGCAAATTCAATGCCTTTTTCAAAACGGTTTTTTTAAAAAAGCATTTTCACAACGTTTTTAACACGCTTGTTAGATTCCACCCAGGTTCCAGACCGGCTCTGACAGGGGCGAAAAGTGTGGTCGATACGGAAACGCTTTCCTTATCTTGAAAGAAAGAATGTCTTTTTTAAAAATAATAATAATAATTTTTTCAATACAAACAACAACAAAAACCATATACAAAAAAAAACACAATAACACTAATAACACAATTTAACAATTCAGATTTGAGTACTGATATAACTACACCTTTTTAACAACATTTCCCCAACTCTCCTCCCCCTACTTCCCACCCCTGTCCGCCTTATCACTTTAAGTATTCCTTCCAGATTTCTTCATATTTATCCATTCTTAATTTTGCAATTCGTTCGTAGGTGACTAGTCTGTCCATATTGTCAATCCATGTGCTCAATGGGATCTTTTTGCGGCTCTTCCAATTCATCAAGAGAAGTTTTTTTGCTTCCAATATGGCACGATACATCCATATATATATGACACCTTGTAATCTCTCGCGTTTCCGGTATATAATTTAGAATTAAATTTAAATTAATTAAATTAATTCGAATTTAAATTAATTCAGAATTAAATTTAGAATGTCGTCACTCGGCGCGCCCTTCGTCACTCGTCCCGCGACGGCGCCCTTTAACCTGGGAAACGCAATTGGGAGGAAGCGGGCGGGCGGAAACCATAGAGATGAAGTTTCGGCACTTCCGGCCAAAATTCGAAAAAGCTACCATTGGCCCTAACAAAAAGCACCAAAACCTGAGTGCGCGTGCGCACGCGCGTGCGCCTTCCGCTCCGGCGGCCTCTGACCCCGCCCACGTCCGGGCCGCCCTCCGGAGGCTGCGCGCGCGCCACCTTCCCCCACCCCCTCCCGGCCGCCCGCTCCTCCTTATTAGAGCGAGAGAGCGGACGAGACATCCGGTTCCGCCCCGAATCCGTGCTTGTGAGGGAGGGAGGGAGAAAGAGAGAGAGACGGACGCGCTGCCCCAGTCGCTCCTCCTCCCCCCCCTCCGCGCCCTCGGCCGGGAAGCGAACCCCGGACCCTGAGACGGAGAAAGAAGAGCGTCTAGGTAACGGGGGGGGGAGGGCCGGGCCGGGCGGGGAAGGCCGGGCTCCTTCCCCCGTGAAGGGGGTGTGTGGGAAGGGGGGCAGCGGGGCAGCTTCTCCTCAGAGAATGAGAGCGGGAGGAGGATTGGCGGCTGTCAACAGCCCCGCAGGCCCCTTCCCCGGAGCGCCCAGAGGGGTGCGGGGCCGGTGGCTGCGCGACCTTCTTCCCTCCGGCCTCGCCCTGAGGGGGAAATGGGCCGGCGAGGTGCCAGGTAGTGGTGGTAATAATAATAATAATAACAACGTGCAATAAGTCCTCTTTTGGGCGCCCACGCAGCTTGCGGCAGCATCTGCAGCCACGAAACCGCTAGCCCGTTTGCAATGCTAAGCAGGGTTCAGACTGGGTGGGAGGGGGAGGGAAACGCGTGCTGAGGTTCCCTGCATGGCGGGGGGTGGGCTAGATGACCCCCCGGAGGCCCCCTTCCGACTATTCGGTTCTGTGATTCTATGGTACACACGTCCACCTTTGAAAGAGTAAGATTGTGAGTGTACACGTCTCTCTTTCTCTCTCTCTCTGTGTAGTGGCGGTGGTAATAATAATAATAATAATAATAATTAATAATAATTGCAATAAGTCCTCTTTTAGGTGCCCACGCAGCTTGCGGCAGCATCTGCAGCCACGAAACCGCTAGCCCGTTTGCAATGCTAAGCAGGGTTCAGACTGGGTGGGAGGGGGAGGGAAACGCGCGCTGAGGTTCCCTGCATTGCGGGGGGTGGGCTAGATGACCCCCCGGAGACCCCCTTCCGACTATTCGGTTATGTGATTCTATGGCACACAAGCCCGCCTTTGAAAGAGTAAGATTGTGAGTGTGCACGTCTCTCTCTCTCTCTCTCTCTCTCTCTCTCTCTCTGTGTGTGTGTGTGTGTGTAGTGGTGGTAATAATAATAATAATAATAATAATAATAATAATTGCAATAAGTCCTCTTTTAGGTGCCCACGCAGCTTGCGGCAGCATCTGCAGCCACGAAACCGCTAGCCCATTTGCAATGCTAAGCCGGGTTCAGACTGGGTGCGAGGGGGAGGGGAACGCGCGCTGAGGTTCCCTGCATGGCGGGGGGTGGGCTAGATGACCCCCGGAGGCCCCCTTCCGACTATTCGGTTATGTGATTCTATGGTACACAAGCCCGCCTTTGAAAGAGTAAGATTGTGAGTGTGCACGTCTCTCTGTCACTCTCTCTGTGTAGTGGCGGTAATAATAATAATAATGATGATGATGATGATGTGCAATAAGTCCTCTTTTAGGTGCCCACGCAGCTTGCAGCAGTATCTGCAGCCACGAAACCGCTAGCCCGTTTGCAATGCTAAGCAGGGTTCAGACTGGGTGGGAGGGGGAGGGAAACGCGTGCTGAGGTTCCCTGCATGGCGGGGTGGGCTAGATGACCCCCCAGAGGCCCCCTTCTGGCTATTCGGTTCCGTGATTCTATGGCACACAAGCCCGCCTTTGAAAGAGTAAGATTGTGAGTGTGCACGTCTCTCTCTCAGTCACTTTCTCTAATGTGCGCATGTACAGTTATGTGCGTCCCCGTATGTGCGCACATACACACACAGCTTCCTTCACTGCGGGCTCAGTGAGAACTCTCAAATACTTATTGCTCATGTGGCACCTTTCAAGTTCCCAGCACACCAGAGTAACATGCTTCCTGGCAAAAACAGCCCTGTAAGGTAGGGGTGGCAGTACTAGAAGCGTGTGGACCTCCAGGTAATATGAGTGTTAGGAATCATATAATGGTTGGGTTGGAAGAGACCCTGAGGGTCGTCTAGTCCAACCCCTGCTTCAGGATGGGAAAGGAAAGTACTTCTCCACACAGTGCATGGTTAGGCTAGGACAGACTCACTCCCATAGCGGAGGTTGTGATGCTCACCCAACCTAGATGGCTTTCAAAGAGGATTTAGTCAAATTTGTGGAGAAGAGGGCTATCAAAGGCCACTAACTATGATGGATATTCACTGCCTCTGCAGTTGCAGGCTGTCATGCTTCTGAATACCAGTTGCTGCTGGAAGCCTCAGGAGGGGAAAAGGTTTTTGCGCTTGAATTCTGCCTGTGGATTTCCCATAATCAGTATCTGGTCAGCTGCTGTGAGAACAGGGTGCTGGACTAGATAAGGCATTGGCCTGTTGCAGCTGACTCCTCTTAAGATCTTACAAGAGTGAAAGTGACTTGATCTTAAGTGGGGATTTCCTGTTTAATAACACTTAGCTACTATGCTACATCAGCTTCCATTTCACATGTGAAAATGGGTGCTGTGAACCTGTCTTGTCCCTACTGACGCATCAAGGATTGCTGAGTTTGTCAACCCCACTATAACAAATTGCTTTAACCTTTTCTTTTACCTTTTGACAGATGTACTTATTTACTGTGCATTATAGCTGGTCCTAGACCTGATTTGAAAACAAAGCTCTGTTTGGTTAAAAGGATAATAAAAAATAGAATTCCCTTAAGATGTATTATCATAGTTCTGAACACTAGCCTAGCCACCTTAATGTTTACTCCAATGCATTCATATGCAAATACCCTAGAGACAAAAATAGATCTTCCTTCCATTCAGAGAAAAACAGCAGCTTTACTGCATGTATGCATGCTAAAAGATCCATGTAGTTCCTCATCCTGTTTTCCATTGTAGCTAACCAAATGCTAATGGAAAACCCCCAGAGATGAAGTGGAGAGTGTGGGCTACTTTTACTTAAACAGGTAAAGGTAAAGGTACCCCTGCCCGTACAGGCCAGTCTTGTCAGACTCTAGGGTTGTGCGCTCATCTCACTCTAGAGGCTGGTAGCCGGCGCCATCTGCAGACACTTCCGGGTCACGTGGCCAGTGTGACATCGCTGCTCTGGCGAGCCTGCACCAGCGCAGCACATGGAACGCCGTTTACCTTCCCGCTATAAAGCGGTGCCTATTTATCTACTTGCACTTTTAAGGGTGCTTTCGCACTGCTAGGTGGGCAGGAGCTGGGACCGAAAGACGGGAGCTCACCCCGCCGCAGGGATTTGAACCGCGGACCATACGATCAGCAAGTCCTAGGCACTGTGGTTTTACCCACAGCGCCACCCGCGTCCCTTTTACTTAGCAGTCTATAAAGGGCCAGGCTAGGCTGCAAACTCATTAACAGGGTGAAGCTGCAATTGTGCAGAGCCTCTTGTTAGCTCTTCCTATAGGGCGTAGGGGCAGGAAATAGGTGAATTAGGCACAAACCCCCATGAGGGATGTGTTTGAATTGGGGCCAAATTCTCCTTTTGCATGTCAGACAACAAGTGGTCATGCCAAAAGATAAGTGGGGAGGGAGAAGCAGGCAAAATTGCAATCCAACCTTCACTCTCCCCAAACAGTTTTCCAACCACTCAGGTACAGCAGGAGGGCATATTATGGGGCACAGCATCCTGACCCAGCAAAGACCTAGAGGGTTGCACCAGGAACCCCAGGTTTCACACACAAGTGGTCCCAAGTTCAAACCTTGACTGCCATTTCCAGATTCCATTTCCAAATTCTGGAAGGACTTTGTATACCTAGGATGCCTTGGTGAATGCAGCCTTGAGCCATTCAGAGGAAATACCACATCAGTCAATTGTATGACTCCCACATGACCCAGTTTGCTTTTGCAGCACTCAGTCCCTGCCATATAACCTAGCCACACTATTCCACATGTTCGTATGCATTATTGTCTGGTACTGCTGTTTATTTCCTCTCTGTCTTGAGGAAAGACATGTCCCCAATTCTTTCCCCTAACAACAGACTTACTCATTCCTTCGCATGCCCACTGCCTAATTCATCACATCAGAAGTAACCAGGAGGCTTTTCAACTGTTAGGGGTCTCAACCCCCTTACCTGGAATTCAGGTGGCCAAAGAAGGAATAAACTACACCAAGACCTGGTGGAAAAGAAATCTTTGAGCCCCTTTCTCTTCATAATTCTATCCTGACACGAGCGCCTGTGAATAAGAACCAGCAGGCGTGGGAAGCAGGGTTCAAAATTAGCAGGGCACCAGGCACATTTCGCGCCTAAAGATACTCCATTTGCGAGCACCGCAAAAGGTCTGGGTTCCATTTTTTTGCACCTGGCTGACACTCAAGGATTACTGAAATGTATGTGCTTTGAAGCCTCAAAGTATATGTTAAGAATAGACAGTACATTAAGGAGTTTAATAATGTAGAGTAGAGTGTTTTGAAAACTGAAATCTGGTACCAATATTTTATTGTAAACACCAAATTAAACATGTATTTCTTTTTAAAATGGGATATTAACAATGTGTCACTTATGGGAATTGCATATTAGTTCATGCTTATCAAAATACAGTGGTGCCTCGCAAGACGAAATTAATCCATTCCGCGAGTCTCTTCGTCTTGCGGTTTTTTCGTCTTGCGAAGCACGGCTATTAGCGGCTTAGTGGCTATTAGCGGCTTAGCAGCTATTAACGGCTTAGCGGCTTTAAGAAAAAGGAAACAAACTCGCAAGATGTTTCGTCTTGCGAAGCAAGCCCATAGGGAAATTCGTCTTGCGGAACAACTCAAAAAACGGAAAACCCTTTCGTCTAGCGAGTTTTTCGTCTTGTGAGGTATTCGTCTTGTGGGGCACCACTGTAATAAATAAAAAGTGTTGCCGGACCCACCCCTGATGGCAACTAGACATTCTGTTTTGGCACCCACAACCCAGGTCCCACGAGCCATTTGGCTCCTAGCTTTTCTATCCCAGTTTCTAACCCTGGTGGGAAAGGGTCCTCGGCTCCTAAACCCAATCAACACAGAAGTGGCAGCTGTAACAAAGCGGAATGAGATCTGGAAGCAGAAAATATGAACATAGCTGCCAGTCACCTTGTCTCAGCAAGGCTCCTTCACCTTTGCTATGTGGCCAACAGCAAAGGAACAGGTGTACTGCTCCATAGTGCTCCATCTCTGTGTTGGCTAGGGCTTCAACAATACATAGCTGTCTCCCAAGCAGCTTACAAAAAAATACAGGAGCTTAGTAGAACA